GAACGTGTTCTTTTTGTTTTGTTTTGTTTTGTTTTTTTTTTTTAAAGCCCTTTCGCAAGTCCACTATCCTGGGGGTGGTAAGAGAACCGCCGGGATTGAGGCCTTGGCTGGTGGGCTGCTCCGTCTATTGGCTTTTGCGAGGACCTCAACAACGTCATCTTAGTGGTGTATGACATTGTCCTGCTGTTGAAGCTAGCCGATGGCACTAAACCAACCATCAGCAAGCTGTACGCGAAGATGGACAGGGTAGTGGAGAGACTGCCTGCGAACACGAAGTTGGGGCAAAGAGACACATCGTCATCCGCAGATGGAATGTCATTATGACCCTGCTGCAATGCGCTGCATTGCTCTAGCCTCTCGGATCCGGAGTACTGCAGATAGTGCGCAGGGAGAAGAAAGCATCCACTGTAGTAGGCCAGCAACTGCCATAGCTACCATCTTCACCCAAATAGAACGCCCGGTCATAATGGCTGCATCAGGACTGCAAGTTGCCCCAAATACGGCTATAATGACCGGGCGTTCTATTCGGGTGAAGACGGTAGGCAGCAGTTAGTAGTAACACAGGGTGTCGGGGTGCGCTGGGGTGATCAGGGAAGGAGGAGCACAATGGGGACAATCAGCTACTTACGTGGTGCTGGCCAAGGAGCGCCTCATGTGACCAGACTCTTCAGCAAAAGGAAGCTAGGTCTACCCATGCAACACAGTTGGCAATGCCCACTATGACCCTGACCATGTGAAAAAAAAAAAAAAAAAAAAAAAAAAAAAAAAAAAAGACCTTGACCATGTGTTTTTATTTGGTCCTCTGGCTCTAAAAAAACAAAAAGAAACTTTTTTTTTTTTTTCAAGAAAATACGGCCCGCGCGAACAACAGATAGGAGTGATGATGAAAGCATACACTCCAAGTCCTTCGGGACATCCGTTAAAATTGGAACGATACAGAGAAGATTAGCATGGCCCCTGCGCAAGGACGACACGCATAAATCGAGAAATAGTCCAAATTTTTAAAAAGAAAAAAGAAAAAAAAAAGAAAAAAAGAAAAAAGAAAAAAAAATGCATACACTCCTACCTATCCTGCAGGGGGCTCCAATCTATTGGTGGGGAGCTACACCTGCTGGAAAGCGGGTCCAAGACCCCTGTTAACCTTGGGTTGGGCAATGAGTCATTTAGGTATACCTATGACAACCATGTCACATGCAACGCCTGGCGCTCCTTTCTGATTGAAGTGAGAGTAGGCCTAGGAAGGTCACGAGATATGAGTGTGGCAAGGACTTTTTGGAGACTGGGGGAGGACCCTCACATCAGAACAAAGTTCTCTGTACGTATGGCTCTGCAGGAGATAATTGGAACAGACCTGGGGTGAGGACAGTGACGGAAAAGGACAACCAAGTAAGAGGGGCAAAAGCACAAAGCACATCAATCTACTCTGATGGTGCGAAGAGGGCGCGGGGAACCTGTTTTCGATTCAAAATTGGGGAGGGGTTGTTTGCACCGTTCCTTACCAGGGTCAGACGACTCTGATGTGTATGCAGCGTCGCATGATGGTTCACATAGCTACCGTCTTCACCCAAAAATAACGCCCGGGCATTATATTCAACTTACTCTAAAAGAGATGAGATTTTCGTTCTTACTCACTTTTTTTCCAAATAGAACCCCCCTTCAAATACAACGTCCGGGCGTTGTATTTGAATGTTCCATGGGCAGAGTGCCTTGGAGAGGTAGAAGCATACATGGTTTTTTTTTTTTTTTTTTTTTTTTTTTTTTTTTTTTTTTTGAAAGATGGTTCTCTCTCATTAAACCACCAATACTTGGCCCAGCTATCGATGCCACGCCTGGAATGCCCGTCCGCGCCAATTTTCGCCGAAGCGCCGGGGTACCGTTTCAATTTTTTTTGACTGGCGCTTCCAGCCATTGTGGTCCAATTTTTTGGCTGGCAGTTCCAGCCATTGTGGTCCGGTACCCCGAAGCCCTAAGGGCGCGGAGTGTTAACGGGAAAGCACCGCGGCCGATAGCTGGACCAAGTACTGGTGGTTTAACAACACGAATGAACTGAGGCGGGGGACCTCACAATTCAACCCGGGCGGGGAAGGGGGTATACGTGGGTTTTGAATTGGGTTGAATGGGGTTTGACTTCCAAGCCTTAGGGGTGTACTTCAGCTTGATTTATTTTTTGTATTTTTTATTTCCGATTTTATAAGGAGTTCTGAACCGACCCTCAGCCAAAAGTTGGTCGCATTGGTTACCAATCTCAGGTCAAGTCCTGGTTAATGGCACTTGGGGTCAGCAACAAGTGGCAGGTGGAACATAGTGAGAGAACAGTTTTGAAAGGCAGAATAAATTCCGTCAAGCTCAGGAAACTATGGCAGCAATTGAGACGTATCCCGTCAGCAAAACTAAGCAGTCTAGCCTGGCTGCAATCCCATAGAGTGGTTCCTACTGCGCACTGGCTGGCCACAAACAGGATGCCAATAGACACTGAATGCAGAAGATGCAGGAAGACGAAGGAGACGGCAACACACCTGTGGTGGGGTTGTGTGGAGTCAAAGAGAATATGGGCATGGTGGGCCAGCCTCTGGCAGAAACATGTGGAGGATCAGATACAATGGGATGAATGTTTCGTGGTGGAAGGGCTAGTACACAACAGTGAGTCTGTAGAGATGGGTTGGGT